CCAGTTTTGAATAAATTACTATTTTGTGCTACATGTAATAAAAAAAAAAAAATAAAAAAAAAACTTTTTTTAATGGACTTTTTAAAAGATAATGATTTTATGCAGTTCATAAGAGCACTACAAACATTAAGTGGGCCACAGATTACCTACCTCAGCTGTAAAGGTTAAATGAGTCTGGAGAGAAAACTTATGTCTTGTGCTCTATTCTATTTTTGTGTATTTATTGAATTCATTTTCAGTCTCTATGCAGGCAATTGGATCCCAGTATAAATTCTGGATTATTCTAATATCTTTTCCCAAATAAGTCAAGCTTTCTTCGCAGTTGAAATAGTTCTTTGTATCATACTTTATCAGACACTTTTCATAATTAATAAAACATGAGTATCTCCTCATAGATCAAGAGACTTGCGACAACAGAAATGTTCTACAGAAGGATACTGAGAATACATGTAACAAGGAAGATTTAAGGATAATGAAAGCAAAAAAGACGCCTATACATAGAATCAGTTGGAATCAAATAAAGAATCAGCACATGAATTTGTTAATTGGTGATTATCATTTCATCAGTTTGGAATTTCATATTTATTTCTTTAAAACCTTGTCAATTAAAATCTGGCAAAAAATTACTGATACACTATTTAAGTTTCACTCATGCACTTCTTATACATTAACGCCATCTTTCTCAGCAAATCCTCAATTAAAATTAGAGGTCATCTGACTTAAATAACTTCTCTACAGGTTAGCCTCAATTAGTAAAAAAACAGTTTTCTCACCATTAAAGTAAATTCTACAAGTGTCTGTGAAAGGAGAAAAATGAAAGAAACAGAAAACAGCAGATGGAAATGTGGTGGAGACACATTACCTCGCTGAAGTAAGAGAAGGCGAATTGTCTTGTAGACATCACAGAAGTGAAAGATGAACTCCGGAAAATCAATATTGAAGTGACAAAGTGCATGTGTTATCGGTTAGAACGAGGCTAACACATCTCTCGGTTTCTTGCCCAAGAAAGGATAAAAAGAGCTGACTTTTTGTTTCAGATAAGTTTTGTTCTTTGAGACTGGTGAAGGTTATACTCGTGTTCCAGAGAAAGAGCAATAGTACTGTTGTTTATGTTATGCGGGAAACAGAGTCCCGAGTGAAGCATTGATCCAGTTTCCACGTTAGCTGTCAGTGGGAACAGATTCGAGTGGAAATTTATTTTTCCTACAACCCAATTTTTGTTTAAATCACACAAGAAATTTATGAGGTGGAAGTCAATTTAATTGTAAGAGAATCTTTAGAGGGAGAGAAAAAAAAAAAAAGGACATGAGAAGGGAATCTTTTCCCAGTCTAATGAATGAAGACAAAGAGGCCCCTCTTGAGGAAGTCATAATGGACAACAGCTTAGCTTTTAGAAGAAGTATTATAGAACTGCATATAGATCTAGTGAGAATGAGATTATAGAACAGCACCACAGGACAATCAAAGCAATGGTTAAAGATGAGGGGGTCTCGGTGTCACAGAGAGCAATCATCAGATACAAGTGGAAGCACTCATTAGCTATCCAAGTAGCTGATGAGACTAGCCTCAATCCAAATTGGCGAGGAAGTATGGGAAAACTGCCTGGTGTTTGTTGCAATAGGACAGGGGGTTGGTAATTGGTATGCAATCATAGAATAGTATTTCAGTGGATCAGATTCCTGGGCATCTTTTAGATCTGGTCAATCAATCAAACAATGACAGAGACCTTAAGGGGGCAAAGGGAGGGAACCCAAAGTGAGTTCTTGCAAAGATTGAAGAAAGGTGCATCCACCAAACGTGATCAATAAGATTGGGAGGGGGGTACATGTGATGTGAAAAAAAAATCAGAAAAGGAGAAGGAAAATTATATAAACTTACCCCCCCCCAAAAAAAAAAAACAACAGGTGTCTGCTGAAGGAGAAAATGAAAGGAACAGGAGACAACAGGATTGGGACAATTTATTATGTGAAAACTGCCTGGTGTTTGTAAAAGCAGGAAGTCAGTTTCATTGTGGAAGAATGGTTAGAAGAAAAAAAAAAGGGGGGATTATGAAGAGGGAATTTCTGTCCAGTCTAATGATTACATGGGTGAAGAAGGAAGTGGAGGTGAGAAAGAAGAGAAAGCAAGAACATAGATGTGTAAAAGAAACATTATATTTAGTTTTCTTTTTTCAGAAACAAGTTGAACCATATAATACCAGAAAAGAGAAAGAAATCTAAGTGAATGTTTATTTCTTTTCATTGTTTTTTTCATCCCTTTTTACTACTTGAAATGATGAGTAGTTGACTTAAAAATTACAGGAACAAGGGTTTCAATAACTTTCTTTTTCTTTCATTACTTGTGTTTCTTTTTATGTGTCAGCTCATTTCAATATCTGAATTAAGTCAGAAAAAATATTAAAAAAAAAATTCATGTTTAATTAGAATTTATATATGAATTGAACTGCCAAACATAGAAAACAGCTTTATATTATAGTTTCTCTTTGTTTGAATAACACCAACTAGGTAACATAACACAAAATCTACAAGGTGTAAAAGTTATATGAATATCTAACCAGGCACAATCCATAAATTTAATTTTTTCTTCCATGTGGCTGCAGAGGATATAGTGAGGTCTAAAATATGTCTTATAAAATTTAAATATGGTGATCATTGGACCCAACAGAGTATGTGGAGTTAAACAAGTATTCCTGGAACCCACATGATAGATGAAAGGTATGTTAGCTAGCTAGATTAAACTGTTAACTACCAGTAATCATAGCAAACAAAGGAGTACAAATGGTTTATATCAAGCTCTGTCAGGAGAGACTCCATTTTCACTATGTCTTTAGGAATTCCAACAGAATATATTACCTACCATTATAGAGCCACTTGTACAACCCCCTGCTGACAAACCACATGTATAGCCTCATATATTGGTTTCCACCAAATATGAACTGATTGCCTAAAAAAATCTGTAAGTATGACTAGTTTGACAAGGTAACAGTTCTAGTCATCCATTATCTGATCCAGGGGAGATGCAGTGATTTGCTGGTCAGCTACTACAAAATAGAATGGAATACAGTTGATGCTGTACAAGTTTAGGTTTTGATTAAAGTAGAAGCATTCAAGTGCAAGAGTTTATGCAATGTTCCTCTTTGTTGAGTGGATACCATCCTTGATGGTCACTGGTAATCCCATTCTTGCATCACCCCAGTGGCTTCCTGCAGTTTCAACATACCACTCATCTGTTTTAAATTCACATATTCCTGGTATGATACTTGCTGCTGTTGTTCAAGAACGACCTAAAGTATTTTCCACCTGGAAGATAATGTGCCATCTTTTTGGCTCCAACAATCACTTCCAAAAAAGATATTAAAATAAGGAATTAATCACCCATAGTTGTTGATAAAATAGAGTTCTTATTTCAAGAAAGTAATCTTAAAACCTACCATATTCAAATATTAACATGTAATGCAATTATTTGAAACAAGTTATACTGAAAAAATTAATTTTTAAAATTTTGAGTAAAATCATTAAGATTTCTTGAAATGATGCTTTCACAAACATTTTAAACTTTTTTTTTTTTAAATGACTACCAAAATACATATGAAACAAACAGTACTATTCAGATGATAAAAACCCATAGTTACTAAAGTTTCAACTGTTTGTATTACTGGCAAATAATTATGACTGCTGTGTCGATTCCCTCACAATATGTTCCATAACATTACAACCATAAATATCATTGTCTTTAAATAACTAACTACACATGATAAAATTACAGATAATTCCTTTTGTGACTGTATTTTGAAATTCTCTAAGTTCATGTGCATAATTATTTGTTTCTTCAATTCACCAATATGAAAGGAATTAATAACCAAAACCTCAAATGATATAATTTTGAATTTTATCAAATTAAACAACAAAAACACTATAAAAAAAATGTTAAGTTTATTTAAAAAATAAAATCTACAACCTCCTGTTACAAAGGGTTTGTGAAGAAATAAACTTATTTTGCATTTGGTCTGAATCACTCCCTTCAAACCGGAGACAGCAGGTAATTTAAAATACACACGTGTTGGTGATGTATTCCAGGTAAAATAGTCAGCAACCATCTTTAAAAACCCTGCCTATACATTAAAAGACTAAAACCGAGATGAATGAAAAATGAATACGATGAAATGCCTTGTCTATTAAATGGCAAAAATTAAGTAAAAATATTTATGTAATAAAAGCTTAAAATGTTCAAATCGATGAAAATTTTAAGGCTGACAAAAGCAATCAAGTATTTTGCTTGAGATACAATGCTGTAAGTTACCAAAACTATAATTGGAATAAGACAGAATTAAGGACAAAACATTTTAGATTTTTGATGTCACAAATATGAAATTGAAATTTAGAATTTTTACAATTGCTAGTAACATGTCAGATCAAACATTCAGCATCAAATTCATTATTAATCATTTCATATTTGTTACTGAAAAACCTAAGAATAAGAACTAAAAAATGACCAAATAATCTTTTCAGTCTCGGAAAAGGTAGAAGAGAAAACTTAAATCTATAAATGTACAAAAATGGCAGATTATGAAAGGAACCGCAAATAAACATGGCAGTGCGTTGTCAAAGTTTCAAGAGAAAAGAATTTGGGTTGTGACCAATATTCACTAGAACCTGGATATTATTAGCAAAGAGATGAAGACCAAATATTTCATTAGATCCCACACCCTCAGTGAGGCTAACACACAAACCACACACTTTTTTTTAAAGTGAGAGACCTGCCAAATCTGAACTTGACTTCTCAAAGTTCAATAAACTTTAAAGTATTGTTTGGGGACAAAAAAAAAGGTTGAGGATGAAACAAAAAAATTAAAGTTTACTCAATTACAGATACCCAAAAGTTTTGGCAGGCAAGTAAAAAGTGTCTAATATGTGTGCATTGTTAAAATAAAAAGAAACCTGCATTTCAGGTGTGAGAGAGTAGCAAAGTTGATCAACTTGCAGAAATTATAATAGCCACTTTTAGTCTGGCTTTTTCAGAGACAAGTACAATGTCTTGTTGATAATCTGCCGGTCAGGGTTTATCTTGCGCAATAGTTGTGCTATGCTGGTGGTTAGCTGTTCATTGGATAGGTTTAGTTTTTTAGATTTGAACTTCTGCAACAGGTCCTTAGTACTCATTGGCTTTCGCATCAGGTAACGTCGAATGGCCTCTTCAGAAATACCCTCACTATAACAAAGAAAAAAAAAAACATTTAAGTAGATTACAATATGTTCAGAATTGAGTCAGGAAATAAAGCTATGGCTTTAGTTGATGATTTTGTAATGTTCAATACAATTATCAACATTATTTTGAATTTATTATTAGGTGATATTAATTAATTTTTGACTAGTGCTTCTTTCATTTGCTTAATAATGATTACAATGATCATTTAGGAGTTGCAATAAAAAGCCAAAATTCAATGCAATTTGAAATGAAACTATACATCAGTTACATGAACCAAACTAATTTGCTGCCATTTGAAAAATGCTTAGATAAAACTGAAGATTTTACCTGGAGGAAGAGGAAGTTGTTATTGGACTTTCTGTCCTGACCTTCTTATTGTTATTAGTAACCACTTCAGGTTCAGCTTTTCTTTTCTGACCAGCTGTTGAAAATAAATATACAAAGATAGTTTTATAAAAACACTAGCCATATATTTAATAACTTTGAATACTCTTACCAATATTTGTTTCCAACATCATATTAACAATACAAGTAAATTTTACATCAACAACCACAGAAATAAATTCAGCTTGCATGTCAATTCAACTTTCAGTAAAAGATTGAAAATCTATTGATATTTCAAATATTAATGCCAAAATCATATTCTGATTTTAAAAGAAAAAATATTACAATAGTTAGTCTTAGAGTATACTTTTAATAATCTACCAATACTGTGCCTTACTATACATATATGGGCAAGGAATCAATCGCAATCATTTAGTATTGAACACAGAAAATAACAGAATGCAAAAGAAGTTGGGTATTGTAACAACAATTTTTACTGCTGCTATCTTGTGTGCTGGGTGACCATGAATGTCAAAGGTTAGTATAGACTAGACTTTGCATGTAGAAGAGCGAGACAATCAATCTAGAGTTCAAATTGTTATTTCAAGGAACCCAAGTTGGAATCAGTTTGGTTGCTGGCCATGTTAAACTTGTTCTATTGTAAACAATTTACAAGTAATGAAGTATTTGGGGAACTTACACCAATATTTCATTAATCAGAACTTACCAATCTTGTTCCAAATTGAGGATTCAGTGAGTCTTTTATGATAGCTAATGAAATGTATACATCTAGTTTCCATAACTACACATTCAAAGAAAAGTAATGATAGACTACTTTATTGATAGGAATTTCCACAGATATTTCAGTTATCCAATTGTTAGCACCTTTCAACAACTGTTAAAAGAAAAGGTCTTATGATTTCTAATTATGATAATCTAGACTGGCACACCTGTACAACTTTATTCACTTCCAATCTGTTTCTTTCCTGGAGTAAACAGAGATTATTGTAATGTCACAAATTATAACAAAAATATTAGCTCTCAGTGAAAATAAAATGCTTAGAATTTTCATATGAAGGAGAAAAAAAATCTAATTCAACAAGCACTAGATACAAGCTATCATAAGTAAAAACATTTTATATTGACAAATCATATATCATTAGATTATAGAAAATCTGTAATTTTAGACTGCTTGAAAAAGTTGCCAGGTACAATGAAATGTTAAAATAAGTATGTTTAAAATATCTGGATAAAGCCAAACTACTATTGTTATGTACCAAAATAACAAGCAAGAGAAGACAAGAATTATAGGTTAGCACATTATAGGAGTCAATTTAAGAGAAAGTATCAACATTAAAATATTAATAATGAAAAAGTATTATGTGTTGAGAAGCCAAAACCTGTCAGAAATTTGCCTAGACCATTAAATAATGAAAATATCCCAAAATAACTAGAAATTTGATATGATTTTGATTTATTATAAAAAAAAAAAAAAAAAATGACCATAATGTAAATAATTATTACATACTTTGAATATGACAAACTGGAAGAGTTTTTTGTGATGAGTTTCAATCCATTAGGATTTCATTGGACTGGGCTTTGTTGACGTTGCCACGTCTATACATATGCACAAAACAAGAGATGCAGGTAGTTTCAAAATTTTTGAAAGAATATATTTTTTCCAGTTTGTCATATTTTTCTAAATACTGTTTGTTGATATATAAAATTATACAAAATTACATATTGTTATATCATATTTTGAATATTAAAAAAATGTAATATTTTAATAACACTGGCTTGTATAGGACTGAATATTTCTTCTATAAACTCAAAAATAATGGGAACCTCAGATGAGAAAAATCCTTACATTTAACAGCATCATTCTTGTCTTCTGATTCTACAACTGTAGGAGTGACTGATCGCTGCTGGCTAGTGTTAGAGTTCTTTTTAGAATGAAGTTTCTTTGAACGACTATCAACCTGAAAAGAAAAACAAATTAATATATTAGATAATCATGTAGAAAAACGGTTTGGGAGATCTGAACACAAATGCATCTTTGACAATTGGCTTTTGATTATTTTATCAAATATCGCAAATGGACAGTCCAACAGAAAAGGTAAAATTAGATATGGAATTTACATGCATGCAAAATATAGACTATCCAATCAGTATTGATAGTAGTTTTAAAATGGTATACTCGCAAACATAAAAACTAGTTTCAAAATTATTTTTTTCAGAAGTGATTTTAAAAAATAAGTTTGATCCCCAAAATTTTTTAAGTTAGGCAAGTTTTACTCAATCATGTCTACATCATCAAAAATAATGTATGAGAAAATGATCAGAGAAAGAAGTGATATTGACTACAATTTCTATTTACAAATTATCAAAATAGAAACTTTTTGACTGTTGCTACCTGGGACCATCATACACACACACAAATTAGTGCCCGAGAAAACTTATTCTCACATTTCTAGAACTTACAGAAAACAATCTTTCCTCCAAGTCAGAATCACTGCCAGATGACGAACTGCTGCTGTCACTCTCTACAAAAGGTAATAACAAAAATGCCATTAACATCATTATCATCATTTCATACACTCTTTCAAAGAACAGTTAACAAATGTACATAATATAAATTCAAATACACAATTTATACTATTTGTGATTTTCATCACTATGAATACACAAACTGGATTTTTCATCAACTAGAGTCAAATGGAATTAGGACAATGAGGTTCACTTACCTTTCAATTTCAAATATAAACATAGAATAAATAACCTTTCTTACCTTTTTTGGCCTTTTCATCTTTAGTTTCATCATTTTCTTCATCTTCATTTTTGTTTTCCTCTTCATCACTGCTGGCCTCAGAATCTATAAGTTTCCTCAAACCAGCCTCCTCATCTACACCTTTTTCTTCATATTTTTCTTCTTTGTCACGATCTTCAACTTCTGACACACTACTATAATTATAAAATATGGTAAACAGTTGTACAAGTTAAATTCTCATTCAAAATGGCATACAAAATATTAACCCAAAAGTATTGTGACAGGAAATCCACTTGTTAGATTTTGCAAACCAATGATAGTAACTGCTTCTAATTAAGGTAATCAAGTAATTAACTTAGCGATTAACTACAAAGCTACTATACATAGCTATGCCCACTCACTAACAGCCAAGAGAAAAAAAAATAGATGAGATTACAAACAGTAACAGAAAATAAGACAGGAACATTTAATAGATGTCAACATGGAAAATATAAGAGCCAATAATATACATAGTAAGAGTCAAAATGAAAATGTCGAACATAGGAAGGAACAAAATAGGCTATAAGAAATTTGAAAAACAATGGGTTGCATTACAGGAGTTAGGACAGATTCAACTGTTAAAATTTGAACCTGAAGAATAGGTGATGCATTCCCTTTGTTTGCTTTGTTGAGATAAGCAAAAATATCAAATGATCTGCATTATCAAATGGTTGACAGCCAAGGGGATAGTAAAAAGTAGGATCATCAATCATATATCAACCTCTAACTTTACTTAGAATGGCCAGTCAAAAGAAAGGAAAAAAAATAGAAGAGAAAATATGTTGGGAACTGAGGTAAGTTTGAAATGTTACAAAAATGCAATGGGCATAAAAGCCAAGTTATTGCGTTTCAAAATAAAACTCAGATAGCGATTAAAAGAAACTGGATACTGCACCATTTAAAATTTGGATGCCAGAAGGATAAACTTGACCTGTGTGAAGAAATTAGTTACCTTGCTGAATCTGTATTGTAGTCAAGTTCTCTGTCATCATAGTCACCTTCATCACTCTCCTCAATGGCTTCATCATCTGAGTTACTTTTGGAGTTCTTTTTAGTCTTAGCTGATTTAGTATCTTTTTTGGTTACTTTTTCAGGTTTATCTTCTGTAGTTAAAAAAAAATGAACAGGTAAATTCATACTTTAATAAATAGAAAACCCAAGTACATCATCTCAGTCTAACTTGAACTGAAGTACATTAATGTTTATTCTTTTCCAGCATTATTTAAAAAATATTAGTTTTCATATTTATGATAATAATGTTGAATACGCATGTCTTTCAAAATAACAAGCATTAAAATACTTTAGCTAAAAAGTTTTAATTTAGATTTGAATACAGAATTACACATAAGGATGTAATACTATTCTGAATAAATTAAATTTTCTGTAAATTAACAGCCATGTTAGAATAAGCTGACTCCAAAATTACTATTCTAAAAATATTTTGGAATGCATTGAGTCTTCTGTTAATTATTATATAAAACAGTTTATGAAAACTAATCTCCTTCATTTTGTAAATAGACAAGGTTTAATAAATCTATTCACATAAGTATATTTTTGCATACAACAGCATCAGGTGGAAGAATATAAATAGACAAAGTTACTTTACAATTCTACGGTTAAATAATTTAACAAATATCTTTGTTAGTTTGTAATGAGAAATAGACATAATAGTCAAAGTGAAAACAATTTACTCACCTTTATCACTTTCTTCTCTCTCATCTCTATCATCATCTTCATCAGACATCACAGCCCAATCATCCAAATCAGTTAAAAGCTATAAAAAAAAATAAAAAATAAAAACAGGACACTAATTTTTACATCATTTTAAATGAGCTTTTAATTATCAATACAAAATCCAAGTAAAAAGTATGTAATTTATTGTCTACTTACCAAAATAATATTAAACTTTTATCCTGCTTTCTGTCATTTATTTTGGGGAAACAAATTCCCCAATTAATTCTTATAAAATATTTTTCCAATGATTTTGAAGTTTTTCTTTAATATTTCTTCTATACTCCACAAACTCTGAGTTTGTAATAAATGTTTTAAATTAAAATTAGTCGCTCAATGTTTGAATATTTTCTAACATAAACTTGATTAGAATCACTAATTATTTGTATAAATATATGATGATTAAAAGTAGGCAAATCTAAAAGTTAAAAAAATTAGAAAAAGGTATCAAATGATTAATTTACATTTCCAACAACACGAAAAGAATATTTATAATGTAATGGTCGTATATTTTGTCAATACTTTAAAAAATCTTGATCCTGTAATGAAAAACAGCATTCAAAAATGTTTAAGATCATATTACAAGAGAGTTTACTATTTCTAGAGAATTTAGTAAGCATTACATCTGTAGGACATTATATTTCTTACTAGTCAGGCATCTTTTAAAAGACCATATTGTAGATACACAATTTCAGTTGCTTCTAGAAATGACCAAAATTGAAAAGATATATTTATGATCAAAATCATAACTTACAAAATCTTTTTCTTTTTTAGTTTTAGCCTTCAATTTTTTCTCTTCTCCTTCATCAACATCAATATCTGTGTCTTCAGGTCGTAGCTTCTTCCGTAACATGACAGAAAACAAATTCATCGTTTTATCTCGCCTAAAATAAAAAATTTTCATTAAATATTAGACATATGAAAAATAACAAAAATGGTTTCATTTGTAAAGTTTTTGTATTATTTCACAAATATGAAATAAGATGCAAAATGCAATATTTAGTAGAGTATGGAACATTATAAATACCACATTACAAGAAGTCCTAGAGAAAAAAATTTCTTGAAATTTAAGTAATTTCCAAAAGGCAATAAAATACATATTTTGTTGTTTTATTGGTGATAACAAAAATGAATAGTTGTCACCATCAGCATTTTCACAGAGTAAAAGTGAGTAGAATTTATATGAATAGCATTAACCTCAGAACAGAAAAAATATTGTTGTTGATTTCAAATACATCATCTCAGTCTGACTTGAACTGAAGTACATCAATGTTCATTCTTTTCCAGCATTATTTGAAAAAAATATTAGTTTTCATATTTATGATAATAATGCTGAACATGTATGTCTTTTTATCTAAAGACTATTACCTGTTTAAATGACATTAATTTATAATAAGGAAAATGGCACTTGATGTTAACTTTTACATATTTTCATTTCCACTGAACTTGAAAATAATACATTGGAAATAATCACTGAAACTTTAGTAAGCATACATTTAATATTAAGAAATTTATCTACTGTGTATTGTTATTTTTCTTCAGCAACAACTGATGCTAAATTTGCTTAGGGTATATTGTAGAGAAATCAATCAGGAAGGAATGTGAGAAATGGTTGTGTTTTGTTTCAACTTTTGCAACAAATGCATCCTCAAAAATCTTTCATTGCTGTCATTTTTACAGAACACTGTCCATTATTATGCAACAAAATATTTTTTTTTTCTGACCTGGTCTGGTAGCATTGGCTGATCACTTCTGTCAATATGCTCCCTATTTATGCTCAGGATTTCTACATTTGATTCAGTTTTAAATTGCAATTTCAGAAGAGAGTTCCCATTTTGATACAAATGAGGATTAAACATCTGTGTGTGTATTGACATCTAAATGAGGTAATGCTTTGAATCTTGGGTCAAGTGTTGAGCTTTGGAGAAGGAAACAATCTTTATGTGATTTCTTGAGGTCTTTCCATGGGCATTGTTTCAACTGTGGCATTAGATTTTAATCTTGTTATTTTATAGTTTCACCTCCTTTAGCTGTATGCTTAATGAGATTGTTGAGTGTTTTTTTCAGAACATAATAGTTATTATTGTTTTCATGACTTTGAGAACAATCACCATCTCTTCTGTATTGGACACGTCAGTTTCCGATAACATACATGTTACTTGGATTTCTTTACTCATAAGGGAAGATTCATTTATGACTGGTTGTTTTTGCTGTATTATAAGTCTAGTGAACATATTGTGCGACCTGTTTCAGCATGTAGACAGATCTTGGATCAGTTTATGTTTGAAACATGCACTGCTTGCTTTTCAGCTGATTCTGCAGTTCTGCTACAGTAGAAAACTGAAACAATTCTCTTTACTTGAGATAGAAATCTGTTCAGAATGTTCATTTCAAGAGCACATTGTGAGGTAAGATCAATAGTATGGCCAAAACATTTGATGTGGTGAAACAGCTCTACAGATTTCATTGCAGTATTAATGTTAGTAACTGCAACATACCAAGCAAATATGTCAGATTCCATTCAGTTATGAGAACCTCAGATATGCTAACATCATTTTCATGGAGTGTGCAATAGTCCAGTCATTTCTTATGAAGATGTTGTGAGGGTGATATCCAGCCATCTGTGATGATGCATAATGATACAGTCTGGAATATATCACACACTACCTTTTCCTAGTGTTTCATTTGAGCTCTTATGTATAGTAATGATGGTATCACATATTCCAATTTATGAACATGAATCAGGTGGTGAATAACCAAATGAGAGCACATGTCCAAGTGCAATGAACACACTTATATTCCAAGTAATAATTTGCACACATTGTGATGTAAATGCCAGTTTTGTCTTAAAAACATCAAAAGGCTCTACCTGTATAGAAACCATTTGCAGTAGAAATCTGAAACCAAAATCATTCTAAACATTTGATTTTTGATTTAAAAAAAAAATAAGAAAAATGTTTTTGTTTTTTTTAAAATCTCTGCCTGGTTTTCAGTTATACTTTAAATCCAATTAACTTACTTTTTGAACTCTTCCTCAGCTTCCTCAACATTAAGATATCGATATTTAATCACAGGGTTGAAATTATACCAGTGTTCAACTGGAAAAGCTTCAAATGCTCCATCGGCACACTGGGTAAAGATGAAATAGGAGGTGTTGTCAGATATTGTACCCTCTCTCACACCTTTGTACCTACACACACAAAAAAATAAGTAAAAAAATTAAAATAATAAAATTCTAGAAAACTCATTCAAAAATTACTCCCTATTTTTAAGCCAATACAACCGGTTTACAAAAATACAACATAGCAAATAGGATACTCATTAATAATCAGAATTTGATTGATTAATAACATTATAGAAGAAAGCTCTTAATATTATTCCAATCTTCTATAGAAGGCAGTGTTACTTTTTGGGGGCTGTTGGTTTTATCACACCAAGGCAAATATAAAATTAAGTGAAAAAGTGTCATTAACATTCCAAATTTTGTCTGGATAATTGACACTTGTTTTTATGTGCTTTGGTGCAGTTAACACCATTTCAGTACATTCATTTTTCAGCCCCTGAAGACAAAATGAAAAGACAATCATTAATATGCAAACTAGATTAATCCATTTCAATAATGCTAGATACACAAGTGTAATTATACTGCCACCAAAGTATGCAGGTGATTGCAAACTGCACATCAGAGTTCTCCACCTATGCTAAGGGAAGCTGTACTATAGCCAATATATGCCATTTCCTTTAACTTTATCATTCTTTAATGTTGCACCCTCTCAATTATTTAAACCTCAGACCACAGTCCGTAATGTGTACCCTTCTAACTCCACATATGGCCTGCTATACTAGATTTTCCTAGCTTCTTATTAAATACAATTTTCTTATCTTCCTTGAGTCCAAATGCATACAAACAGCTGGTTTCCCCCTTATATACTTTTCTACATTTATAAGTGAGGTTTTATTTTTGGTTATTCCTCAAAGGATCACTTCTAGTAAAGAGGTTGTGAAGAGTATCAAGACTATTGAATACTACTGAAATGTAAGAATAACTTTTTAAATCGGTTCTGCTACACCAGTTTACAGGGCTTTACGGAGCCCTCCAAAAAGGAGCACTCTCCTTTTTACTGGAGCAAATGAGAAGAGGGCTCATTTTATAGTCAACTGAAGTGGAGCATGAGCAGCTCTATTTGGGACTAAAGAGCGGGCAGGGCTTTTATGTTTCCACACTCCTTGAATTTTTCTAAATTCATAAAATTGAACTTTTATGCCAAATGTTTGGAGCCCAGAAGATTTGGTCAGTTACTGAATCTTCCGTTACCAAATTTTCCAGGCACCACTGCAACAATATCAGGGTCGTACTTTCTGGATGGTGGGATAAGGGGCTAAGGCCTCCCCGAATATTTTAAAATATTTTTTGAAATAAGTAAAATCAATTTATCTATGTTAAAGTTCTTGTATCTTCTTTTCAAATTATCATTTTAATAATACTTTAAAAAATATTGAGGAAGGAGGCCTAGTCCCCTAAACCCCCTTTCTGCAAGTATGGATCTGTTATTGTTGTAGGGTTTTTTCTGAACCCCATGATTTTCACTTATTTAAAAATATAGGATGGGGGATTAGCCCCTAAATCCCCACTCCAGAACTGCCCTAAAATCAATTTTTAATCTACTTTTATCTCATAGTTACCAAATTTTCCTACCTTGTTAAAATTACAGAATTTTCTGTCACCAAATTTTCAGGGCACCGTATTATTTATGAATAGGGGTCTGTCCAGTTATGTCCAACATTTATGAAAGAAGGTACATTTTAACTAAGGATCGCCGAAAAAGAGCCACTCTTTTTCTTAATGGAGTTGAAGCTGGAGGGGCTCCTTTTTGAAAATGGGGAGCATGAGGGGAGTCAGCTCCAATTTTGGGTATGGCAGCAGGAGTAGCTCCAAAAATAGTGGAGCGCGTAAAGCCCTGCCTGTTTGTTAGATGGTGATACTAGGAATTCTCCAGTTTCCCATTTTAGAAACCACCACGGACAGTTGTTATGTTGGAGAGTGCTACTAATGTTCCTTAATTCTCCTTTATTAATGGCCAGCTCTTTTTCTGCCATCATTTTTTTTTCTTGAGAAATAAGACTAATAAATACAAGACGTGTTAACAAGTATACAAAAGAATTCAATTCTCTGAATAAAATTTAGAAAATGCAGCTAATAGCTACATGTCATGCTATGAACTTGTTGATATATAATCATAAAATAATCATTATTGGATAATCTGGTGTAAAAAAAAAAATTAAGGTAAAAGAAAAAAAAAAAAAAAAAAAAAATGTTGATTTTACTCAGTTTCCCCATCTGCATTGCTAAATATATGGTGAATGAAAACAGCATTAAGACTTCAAAATGAAAAGCACACACAATCATGAATGGAAGAGACTATATGTTATAACTTGCCCTTAGGCTACTCACTGTGACATCATTAGAATTCTTCCTGACTGACTCCAACTGACTTTTACTGATTCACTTTGAGTTCTTTATTTAAGGCATTTTGCCTAGTTCATTTGTTTGTTTTTTTCACTAGTAAATATTTTATTTCTTAATATTCACCCACCTCCTCTTTCTGGTGAGTTTGCCAACATACTGAACTTTGTATTTCTTTAATTTTGGGTCAACATCTAGTTTTTTTGTATGTTTCCTTTTTCTGGTAGTCATACATTCAATGATTTCTTGGGGTGTTGGTATGTCAAAAATATCATACAGTACTTGCATAGGTTCTTCCTTTTCTTGCAGGCCTTTCTTCAGTAAACCTTTTCTTTAACTAATTCCAATACCTTTTGTATTCCCGTTTGTTTCCTTTTACCATATATATCATTTTTCCAATTCGTGACTTTATTACACCATCTTCCTACATTTATTTTCTAGTTTTATATACTCTGAAAAACACTTTTTCACCAATTATGAAAAATTTTGCATCCTTTTTATTTTAATTTTTCTTGCGAACATCAACTCTGCTGTTGAAATGCCTGTTGGTGTATTGGGATTCAGTGTTATCCTGTATACTCTCAAGAATTTTTGTAGTGCTTTTTCACTTGCTTTTTTTCAAAGCTTTCTTAAAAATACCCACAAACTGTTCAGCTTGTCCATTTGACCTTGGGTGATACGGTGGGGTAGTAATATGTTCAATCGAGAACATTTTACAAAAAATCTTTAAATTTGTAAGCAGTGAATTGTGTATTGTTAGCCGAGACTATGGCACCTGTAATGCCATATCTTCCAAACAGTTTGTGTAAAAAATTCACCGTAACCATGGAAGTTGGTTTTTTGCACTTACAAATTTCAGACCATAAATAGATAATGTGATCCGTTTATTGAACCTGCAAAATCTATGTGCAGTCTTGACCATGGAATATCTGTCTTTGGCCAAGGTTGTAATTTCATGGTAGGTGATTTTGCTAACAGGCGTATATTAATTTTGATAATAGTTTGCTAGTCACAGAAATGCTTGTAACTTAGTAACATTTGTTGGAGAAGGCATATTCTTAATTGCAATTGCTCTGAACGGATCTAGTTGACGACCATTTTTATCAATGATTTTTCCTAGGTACTTGATTTGAGGCAAAAACAATTTGTACATTTTCCTCACTGAGTTTGAATCTGTATTCTCATACTTTAAAAACTCTTTTCACATGCACCCCCCCATATGTTGTTCCTTAGATACATTTTTAATTAATATATCATCCAGATAAGCAACTGCAAAATCCCAATCTGTAAGTATAGTAGCCATAGCATGTTGAAATGTAGGTGGAACCACTTTTATACCAAAAAGGAAGTTAGTTGAATTTATACAATCTCTAATGTGTATTTATAGTTATTAACTCTGAACATTTTTCTTCTTCAACTTGTATTTGCAAATATGCTTCACAAAGATCCAGCTTTGAAAAAATTTTTCCACTGTTTAAATTTGCAAAAATTTCCTCTAGACATGGTAATGAGTAGTTATGGGATTCTAAACATTTGTTTAACTCTGTTGAAAAATCAACACAAACATTAATTTTATTTTAAGTTTATTTAAGTCTGTCTAATTCTTCATTGACTTGATCCAATGCCGGTTTAAACACTGGCATCAACCCTCTTTCACTTAAAATTTCACTTTGGAACACTGACCTAACTCATCTGACAGGACATCTGGAAAACTTGTTTTTTTTCAATTTTTCCTTTAAATCTTCCTTGTTTTTTAAACTGATAACTTATCCACTTACATTTTTGCAATAAATATTTATAGGTAAATTCCACAACTCAAATAATTCGATCCAGTAAGTACCAAATAAGGATTATAGTATTTTTTACATATAAGCTTTAGCTTTTACACACTTAACACTACTAATAAAAAGAAGGACCTAAAGTCAAGATGAAGAGAAGAGAAAAAACAAAAATGGTAAGTAAAATATTCCATACAATTCTTCATTTTCATCTAATTTAGAACATACAAAGTTACATACCTTTTACAATGTTGTTTAGAACCAATTTTCATATGCCAAGGTTGGTCCTCAGGTTTGTACTTCTTCAACATCACACCGTATTTTTTACGTCGTGCCTCTTCTTTTGCCTCACGGCCAAACTCACTGCCAGCACCAAATTTGGGCATGACATCAATGTCATTAGCAGACTTATACTCACGCAAATTATTCTCACGTTCCAAACGAACATTGGTCTGTAAAGATGAAATGAATTTGTGGCTATGAAAATCCTACACTACCAAAACAATTTACAGTACTTTTAATTTCTTGAAAAGAATTATTTAGCATGTTATCCACAAGCAAAATGTCAACTTTTATACCATCAGTATTCACAGAATATCCATGATTTTAAGGTTTTCACTTTTTTCTAGATGCAAAAAATAAAAAAACAAAATAAGTACTGAAGTAATTATTAGATTTTAATACAGGGTGCAGCAGAAATACTGCCCACATAATGGTAAAACAGTAAGAAATATTTATGGGAGATGTTTCTGTCGTACCCTCTATTTTTCAAAAATTATTTCTGGATCATAAAGTCAGTACCACTACTTTTTACAAAAGTAATTTCTTGTAAGTATTACAACAATTTAAATATCTTCTTTCATATATGGAAGACCAAAAATGAAAAAACAAACTGGTTTTCTTTGTGTGTACAAGCTATATTACCAATTAACAAGATCTTAAGGAGGGTTAACTCCTTTGTTCAGTGCACAGGGATTAACCAGGTAATAAAAATATATCTTAACATTCTTTCTATACATGACATTTACTTAGGTACCTCCACGAGATCGCTAAAAAAAGAGCATAGCATGATGAAAAAGACGCCAAACTTGACGAAAACAAAATTTTATCGTCTAAATGTTTGTTATTATTAAGAGGAAAGGTCAAAGTATTTTTGGGGTATTTTTTTCCATTTTTTAATCGTTCCTAGCACGTTCAAATTTTCGTTAAAAATCTAGTTTTTTTGAGTCAGCAAAATTGACCATTTTTTCCATTTTAAAAAAAACTGGAAATCTGACTTTGAAATTTTTTAAATATCAATTATTTTTTCAAAACTTATTTTAAGAAAATCAGAAATTATGTTTATTTAAAATATTTTGAACCAAACTTAACTTAGCTTTTGTGCCAAAAGATGTAATTTGAAAATAAAACAAAGCAGGTCATAAACTTTCGCGTCTCTTGACATGTGATGAATGATATATTCTTTAATTCCATGAGGCTAATTTGTTCTATTTGAAGGAGAAAAGTGAAATAATTTACATTTATGTGAACAAATTATTTACCCCGTTATTTTTAACGAAAACTTTCAGCAGTCTAATTTTTTTTTTTTTTTTTGTACTTAGCTTTCACCTTTACGTTTATGATGCTTTATGGGAAATATATTGTAAAAGAAATTTAAAATAAAACTGTTAAGAGTGACATTAAATTTCATATTTCTTAAGAAAGGTATCTAATTAATTTATAGGTACCTTTCTTATGAAATTTTATCAGAATTGTACATAAAATACTATAATTTTATGTACATTTATTACATTCTACTGTTATTTGTATTTGCATTCATTTTATTATTAATTTTGATATTTCATTTATGGAAAAATGTCGTAACTGAGATTAATATAAAAATAAGATCATATAAATTTCATAAGATGATACTGATACTTGTAGGTAACCTTCTCAGTTGAAATTGAAAAATCAAATTAACTTCTCCACATGTGTTTCGCAAAAGTTAAAGGCCTTAACAGCGGAGAACAATGCTTAACTCAAATAACATAACTTAATTATATTCTGGTTGGTCTTCCGTATTTTATAATTACAGCTCGATTATAAGCACAAAATTACATTTCTTAATTACTGGGTATCTTCTGATTAGTCAAAATGATACAATTTACAACGCGCTAAAAAAAGATCTATCTCATAAGGACACTTATGAAAGCCGATCTTGACTTTTAACTAATTTTATAATATTTTAACAACTTAAATGTAAAATCTATTATAATTAATGAAATAACAAATAATTGTATTAAATTTCATTTTTCATCGAAAAAATTTTTTTGCTTTCAGAAAATATTGTCCATATTCATAAAAACAACTAAAAGCAAATAAAAGCATTTGAAATTAAATAATATATTTGTTTTATTGAGTTTTGTATGTTACAATTCAGAGCTGATTTTCAGGTACTGCGTATCCAATTAAAAACAAAAAAAAACATGATTTGCATTCTTCAAAGCCCTGTGCTTTTAATTATTGTAATCACTAAAACCGATGCGATCAATTTCTAGCGTTTTCATAAAATTAGTTATGGGTGGGGTGGGGGGTAATAAATATTTTTAAAAAATATTTCTACCATGACTTTCATAAAAAAAAACATATTTATAATAATTTCGATCATCTGTGAATAGTTTCTGAAAGTTTCATTAACATCCGATAATTATTTCTATTTTTGCACGATTTTCAAATTAATGTGTGTCATACCAAAAAACGTGCTAAAATTGTCTATGTTATTTACTAGTTCGCTGATACAAATAGAAAAAAGGTTTTTTAATCAAAATTTAGAATGTTCTAAAAGAATGAAAATTTTTAAAAATAATTAAAAAAAACTTTGGTCTTTCCTCTTAATAATAACATAAGCATTTAGACAATAAAATTTAGTTTTCGCAAGTTTGGCGTCTTTTTCATCAAGCTATGCTCTTTTTTTAGCGATTTCGTGGAGGTACCTACATTTACTAAACAACAGTATGTATAAATAAAATTTTAGAAAATAGTGCAGCCAATAAATTTTGTTAAACTTCTTGATTATAAATTTCTTGATTATAAAAAGCATTATTTAACATTTCAGAATATTCTACATGGCATAATTTTAAAAAATTAATTAAATCAAAATAAATTTTAAAATAAATTTTCAGCAGATTTTCTACAGTATATTATTATTTTAAAACAGCAACTAAAAACTTCACAAACAAAATATTATTTTAGTTTTATTGCAATTCAAAACATTTTTATATTTCAAGGTAAAATTTTCAATTTTAACAGACTTAATTTATCCAGGGGTTTATTACACAAATGAAAATATTTTCCATGTTCACATATTTTATTGAGATTTCATAAAATTAATTTCAGGATGTGATTAACTTAAAATAATTTCTATAAATTTTTCTTACACAATTTCCTATTTTTAATTCCATATTATTTCAGTACTTATTCATAAATCAATAAGTACTGAAAATCTTACAGAAATTCAACAATTAGCTGATTTTAAAATCAAAGTGTAATTTGCCTACAAATGTTATTTCTACAGGTAACCACTGTTTTTGAGTGTGTCACTGTTTTCAAAAGTGCATGGCTGTACTCCAATAAATTTAAGAATTTAGAAATTACTTGGTTCATTTTACCACAATAAACCTTTGCATAGTTGATGATGAGATTTTATGGTATAAAACCATAACTTCATAAATTATTTGCCTATTTTCTTGTTATTAACAATGAGAGCTTAAAATGAACATTGTTCGATGTACACCAAAACAAATAAGTGTAAATAAAAGGTTATCATTTGGAGACATTTTGTACATAACTGATTACTATGAACTAACAATATTTTTTCATCACAAATTCTCAAAGAAATTAGTATTATTTATTAAATAACAATTTAATTAGTGGTTCCTTGGGAAATACTTATATTTGTGTATTTTGTTAAATCTGAGAAAAGGTAGGTGCATTTGGGCAGCAATAATTTTTTATATAAGAAAATTTTAAATTCATAATCTACACATACATTATATAGAAAGACATGCTAAAACCTCTCCTTTGAGAAATAAATATATATATAATTTTAGTCACATGGAAAATGAAATCAAGTGTTCAAATGCCACCTCTTGAAAAACACTACAAACTTTTATTCCAACCTACACACACAACGTCTGTGTGTGTGTGTGTGTGTGTGTGTATGTATGTATATACAAAGTAATTATAGAAAGCACAAGTAAAAATCATTCTCATTAAAGAAATAAACACTTGAAGAATACTTACATATTTTGTAAAATCAACATCAGAATTGACACCAAATTTAAACATACATAATCGTTTCTTTCTGTCCCTGGAAATTAAAAATGCACCAATGAGTTTCCTTAAATTTAATATAAAAACCAGAACAACAAAAATGTCATTTTTTTTTTTTAATACAGATTTCTAGTAAACACTTTTTTTTGTCTTATTGTGTTTCCATTAATTCAATTTTTACTTTTAATTTGTCAAATTATTTTTTAAATAAGAAATGTTTCATTCAAGGATTTTTCTAAGCCAACAAACATTTTTATGAGAAAATAATGTTTTACAGTTTTGTATAAAACAAAATAAAATTTGTAATATGCTAACCTTGGAACTCTAACAATGTACTCTTGAGTAGTTGAATTGCCAGGTACTACTTGCTGCAAATAAAGAATATATGCAAATTAATTTATATTTAACATGTAACAAGAACTGATTTCCCAAATACTATAATCATTCATTTTTGCTAATCAAAACTGAATTACTTTTCAGTTGAGAGCCTCCAAAAATGGTTAATAAAGCTAACTAATTATGCAGCTCAAAATAGGTATGGTTACAAGATGAAAATCATTTTAAAAGTGAACATTGAAGTTAACAGTTAGAGGCGACTGACCGTTTCATGCTAAACACAATCATCAGGCCACCTGATGCATAGCATGAAACAGTCTGTCGCCTGAATATTGACTTCAAAGTTCACTTTTATATTTACATACGCTCTATCTCTGATATTGAGCACTTTTATGTTTACATACGCTCTATCTCTGATATTGAGCACTTTTATGTTTACATACGCTCTATCAATATCAGAATATTGAGCACTTTATCCCATAAATGTAGCATACGTTAAAACTATATTTCTTTTTATATATATATATATATATAAATAATGAACCAGTCCACCATAAATCATCAAAAAGCTATAAATTTTGCACCTCAATTCTTTGTTTGTTTTTTTTCTTTAAAATCAGTTTAAAAATTGGTAAAGAAAACATTTTTCACTCAGGAAGATATCTGATAAGTTTTACAGATTTTTCAAGCTTAGAAAATCAACCATGTGAGTCATAATTTATCAAGTTTTCCTCAGTTACACCATAAATCAGACATGAGTAATTCAAATTATAAAATATATTTCTACAAAAGTCCTTTTTACATTACAGCAAAGTAGTTAAAAAATTATAAAATGTGTTCATGTTATATCTTATTATGATTGTGCTTGTTCCTTCTTTAGTTACTTAGTTCGTCCATCTCTTACACTCTTCAGTACTGATCTGTATTCTGCATGTCACTGGCGGTGATTTTCAAAGAAACACCCTCACCAACTCCATTTCATTTTTGCCGTCAACAAATGCCGACTCCAAAGCAGTTAGACGAGTGGCAATGGAGGATGCCTATAACACTTCATTTTTATCTATTTTTTTCTTCATGTCTGTCTCCATATATATATATATATATATATATATATATATATCTTGTATTTCTTTTGTGTATGTACCTCCACTTTTTTGCTGAAAAACAGCATAGCATGATGAAAAAGGCCCCAAACTTAAAAACAAATTTTTATCATCAAAATGTTTGTTATTAAGAGGAAAGACCAAAGTATTTTTTCATTATTTTATTAAATTTTTAATCTTTTCTAGCATATTCAAAATTTTGGTAAATCCATTTTTTTTTAAGTCAGTGACCCAGGACATATTTACATTAGTGTTTTTGTGTCTATTTTTCAGGTAAAAAACACACTTATTTGAAAATTCTTGCAAAAATCAAATAATTGTTAGATTTTAATGAAACTTTCATGTATTCAGAAATGAAGGAAATTATTTTTGTGTTCAATGTTTTTCAGAAAATTTTAGTAAACATAATTTTTTTTTTTATATGTTACAACCCATTTACTATTTTTAGTTTCACCTAGTTAGAACCTTATTCTAGAAAAAAATTATTTTTATTTTGACTTATCTTTCTTATTAAATTTGTTTAAAATTCTTATTTTTTAATTTGCATGTCATTTTGCAAATTCCTTTCAAATTATTTTATATTTAACTCCTATTCCATAAAAAGGTTTTTTACTTTTTATTTTTTATTAATTTTTTTTGTTAGAGTTGTTTTGAAACAAAAACATTTGAAAGATAAACTTGAATTCAATTTTAAATCTAATGTTTAATTTCATTAATTTTAGACTTTATTTCATTCTCATTTGAAATTAATAACTTTCAGGACTTATTCAGAAATGAAGGAAATTATTTTTGCATTGTTTTTCAGAAAATTATAGTAAACTTTTTTTTTTTTACATATGTCATAACCTACTTAGTTAATTTCATGAAATTTTAAAAAATTAAATTGGCCTCAAATTTTTTTATGATGGCCTCTAAATTACATTATTGTTAAAAGGTCACATGTTTTAAGGGTTGTCTTCCCCTTATTGGGAAAAGCCACTCAACTTTTTGAAACTAATTCTTTCATTTCTAGGTTTCATCTCAACTGGCTTTGAAAATTTGTTCATCAGTGAAAAACATTAAATATATCTTCAAGTATATATACAAGGGACATGACTGTGCTTTTGTTGAAGTAAGAGACAACCTAGTGGCAGATTGTCAGCAGAATCAAGCTCACGATGAAATTACTAATTATCTTGCTTGCCAATGTTTCTCCTTTGGAAGCTATGTGAAGACTGTCAGAGTTTAAGCAATATAACACATCTCATAATATCTACAGACTAGCAGTACATATTGAAGACCAGCAAAGAGCTTACTTTCACAGAGGCAACACTCAGCAAGCTGATAAGGTACAAAGGGACTGTGACACTACCCTCACTGCATGGTTTAAGCTGAATGAGCATGATGACGATGCAAGGAACTACTTGTTCCCTGATATTCCGCTGCATTATGTGTTTAATAAGCGCACTAGAACATAAACACCGAGGCAAAGAGATACCAATATCATCAATAGAATGTATACAGTAATCCCTAGAGACAGAGAAAAATTTCACTTGCAAATGTTGCTGCTGCATGTCTCAGGCACTGTGAGCTTCTGGGATTTGCTCACTGTAGAAGAAATCTTGCCAACATTTAAGGCAGCATCCCTGAGATATGGTCTTCTCTCAAATGATGACACACTGGAACATTCATTACTAGAAACTACTCCCTGTTGGATGCCCTTACAGTTGCATGTTATGTTTGCTGCCCTGTGCACGTATATGAACACAGCAAATGCTCTTCACCTGTGGACCCCTCGCAGGGAATCCATGATTGAAGATTTCTTGCACCAAGGTTTTAATGCAGACCATGCAGAAAACATGGCACTGCACTCAATTGATGCAATTCTGATAGAGAATGGCCTTAATTGTTTAGCAATTGGGCTGCATGAACCTATTGGATTACCACAGCTTAACCATCATGAAGACCTCGATCACCCAGGTATCACAACACTTTGCTAATGCTGTGTTTGAATCTGTCGATAAGAAGAGGAGAGGTGAGGTTCCCAACCATTCCTGTTTTTATGTAGATGCATCATGAGGATGAAGTAAAACTTATATGTTTAATACCATAATTTCTCATCTGTGAACTGCAATGTGTGCAGTAGTGCTTGGACAGGCATTGCCACTAAACAACTGTCAGGTGGAAAGACTATCTATAATTTGTTCAAATTGCTTTTAATGTACCAGCCACTTCAGACCATGCAAATTATTTACAAAACCTGTAGTTGATCATCTTGGATGAAGCTTCTATGATCCTTTCTTTTGTGCTTTTTGGTAAAGCTTTGCAAGATATCACTGGCAGTGATGCTGCTTTCGGTGGTAAAGTTGTGCTCTTGTGGGGAGACTATAGGCAAGTCCTACCCATACAGCCAAGAGGAACTTGTGAAGCAATCAATGAAATCTGTATTAAAAATTCTCCACTATGGCTGATTTTCATCCAATACAAATTAAGCCAAAACATCAGGACAACAGCAGAGCAAAGGGAATTTGCAGCATGGCTCTTGCATTTTGGCAATGGAACATCAGCAGCTTCACAAGACCCTAATATTGATGACATAGTAGTGCCTCAAATTTCATGCATTGACGGCTCTCTGGTGGATATCTTCAACAATACATCTGAGAAAGAGAGAAGGAGCAAAGTAATTCTTTCATCAAAGAACTCAGACTGCCTCCTGATCAATGAAGAAGTTTTGAGACAACTTCCAGGTGACTGCTGCACCTATTATAGTACGGATAAAGTTTTGACAGATGATCCTGCTGAGGCTGAGCACTAACCACTTTAATTTCTAAAATCTTTGACACCATCAGGAATGTCTCCTCATAAATTGAGTTTAAAACCCAGTTGAATAGTAATGCTTCTTTTTAACATTTCTATCCAGAATGGACTCCTCTGCAATGGTAGAAGACTGGAAGTGGTGGCCATGCATCAACATTCAATTGAGGATTCCTTGATTAGTGGATCAGTAATTGGCAGATTTGTCTTCATCCCCAGAATAAAGCTGGTTTCAAGTGACTAACTTGCCATTCACCTTGGAGAGAACCCAGTTTCCTGTCTGTTTGTCATATGACATGACTATTAATAAGTCACAGGGGCAGACATTTGAGAAGGTGGGATTGTTCTTATCTCAGCCAGTGTTTGGTTACAATTGTATGCAGCACACTCTAGAACTCAAACTCTTAGATGTAAGGGTTAAGGTGATGGAGACAGACAAGGAAGGAGAAGAAGGTGAACTACTACTAAGAACAATGCCGAGAGGTATTGACTTGAAGGAGGGGAGTGTTTTCAGAAATTCTGGAGACCCTTGATTATCTTAGGTATGTGTTCTTGGTTTATTTATATATATATATATATATATATATATATATATATATATATATATATATTAAATGAATATCTTTCAAAAGAGGAAATTATTTATATGTGGCATGTATTATATAGTTTTGTGCATATATAAATCTATTCTTATCTGTGTTCATATCAGAGGAAACTGGCATGGCTCTATGTTGGGAAGTGGAGCACCATGGACTGATTGGCAATCTTTGGAGACTGCCAAGTATTTCTATGTGTTGTTTATTTTCCCAGCCTATAAAGAATAGATTTAATAGCTAAACTTTATGTATTTGTAAATGTAACTTTACAAATATACACAATTTGCTACCTAAGTATCTCATTATATATGTAGAGATTTTAATTGGTCCTTCTTCAATGCATTATTTTTATACATACATATATGTAGAAAAGGTTTGTTTACTTAACATTCTATTAGTCAGTCCATGGAAATTCCACAGGTCCTGCTAGTAGTTCCTTAATTAATTTTTCAATTATGTCTCTCTTAGTTAAATTTATTAACTGCCAATAAATTCCTCAACACGTCAGAAAACACCCAGTAAAAAAAATATTGAGAATATAAATTTAATCTACTAGCTTGGAATTAAGATTAAAATTAAAGAAATTTATTTTAAAGCTAGCTCTTTTTTATTTTTTGAAGTACCGACTCTAAAAGAATCATTCCCCTTTTTTTTTTTTGGTCAGGCCGAGAACTTTCAGAATTATCTCGTTATTTTACAAAATTATTAAATTTTGATCATAAATGTTAAATTGTAATGTTTACTTACGGAAAAAATTGATGAAAGGAATTGTGTTGTATTTCGAAATCTTTCGTTTTTTATTTCAGATGCATGTTTCAAAAGTTTGGCAAAATTGCAAGGAAGTAAAAATCAGTGTTTGTTATGTAGAAATTGTTTGAAAAGCTAAACTTAATGTGACTCCCTTATTTAACTTACCGATGTAACGATGAACGGAAACAAAATTTATGGTTTGGTTTTACTGGAAGTCATTTTGATCTGGAATGTAAAATTTGACCCCCCCCCCCAAATATCATACAAGTGTTGTTGTAGTAATTTTCTTATCTACTTTGTATTTAAGAATACTACTTCGATTATTACTTCCAAACTGAGGAATCATTAACTGAAATTGCTTTTAACAAGGAAAATCCTGTCCATAAAATTTACATCCAAATCATTTTTTTTTTTTTTTTGGTTATCGACGTTGTATTCAATTGAAACAAGTAATTCAATAAAATTTCCATCAATGGCAGCTGTTAGGGAAAAAAAGCAATAACTATATACAAGAAGGGATTAATTAAGTTATAAATGGAACATATATATTAAATACGATTTCCTTACCGGGTTCGTTGCCATTTTTTTAATTACAGAACTGAAAAATAAAATGAAATGATACTGCGCTCTCAAATATCAACAACATAACCACAACGCCATCTTGCGTAGGTAGAGAGGCTCAACTAAAGCTGGACTACTATTATAAACATGCTTTCGAATATTTTGCTGATATCAATAAGAGTAAATATTGAATAAATGTCCCATAATAACTACAATTACTTAATATTTTGTTGAAGTTGTTGATTAATAAAACAATTCTCTAAAATAAATACGAAACCACGGTTAATTTCAAATTTTGCTATTTTTTTAAATTTGAAATTCCGTTATCAGATTTTTTTCAATTTTAAAACTATTTCCACTTGTTTTTTTTCAAGTAAAACAAAATTGGGAGTGGGATTACAAACATAGAGACAATTTGAAATACATCTCTCTTCCATAGATCTTTTCTCATGAAGCGAGTTTTGCAAATCATTTTACATACAATTTCATTTAAATTTTGAATTTTAAAGAAAGTCATGAAGTACTTTTTAAAATCTACAAATATTTATTAAACTTAGATATTTGAAGATTTTAAAAAGGACTTTTCATTTTTCAAAATATATTTATCACCCATAGAGGGGAAAAAGATCTAAAACTTTAGCCTCAATAGTAAATTTTACTGATACTATCAAAAAGAAAAGAAAGAAAAATGCACTTATTACAATAGTGTGAGTCACTATCAGTGATAGTGACTCACACTATTGTAATAATTGCATTTTCCTTTTCCTTTTTTTTTTTTTTTTTTTCAACAACAAAGCAAATTAAAGGCGTTTTTTTTTAAAATAATCTTCATTACTGTTCTTTTTTTAAAATTAAATAATATACTTGTATTATTAGGGAAATGCCCAATATGTTTTTTGTTGACAAACTTTATAATGTCATTTTGTATATGTGAGCTGAAAGAGAAATTTTAAGTACAGGGCCATCAAAACCAAAAAGATCTATTGAATTTCATCACCGGAATTTTAAGATGATTCATTTGATTTAAAACTTATTAGGTTTTAAATAAAAATGCTCTGAAGACAATTTAAACAACCAGCCCTCTATCCTCTATTTTATGATTAATTATATTTCTGAATTAATCTTTTGTCAGATCATTTTAAAGACATAGGGTCTTTTTGGTTAGTCCCCATCAAAAACTAATTTGAAAGTATGCTATAAAACTTTTGTATTAGTTAGTAGTGTGCAGATCTATTATGCACAAACATACAAAAATACAAATCACATACAATGCCAAGCATTCATTGGTTAATTAATCCCCACTACATTATTATATGCAATTTACAAATCGAGTAATGCAACAATTTTGTAATCGCTCTATTTTCAAGTAATCAATTTTGTATTCTTTTGGGAGAAACGGATCACAGAAACTTTCTTAAGTCTCCCAAAAGCTCGCTCGCTGATTGGTTGATGCCAACCAATCAGATCGTTTGCCTGTGAAGAATAATTCTTCCTGCGCAGTGAGTTAGAGCCTACAGTCACTTATTTAAGCAAGAGTTTTCTAATTCTAATTAGTGAGATTTCAGCTGCCAAACAAATCCATAACAGTTGAAACCATGCACCAACTTTATCACTCACACACACCACTCACATGCTGACATACCTTGTACACACTCAAATAAACTTTTCTTACACAGCAATATCTTTCAAGAACAATCATTACAAGAGACTGTCATGAACATTCTTCCAGTGAACTTTGGAACACTAAAATAACAATTAAAGAGAGATAACTCTTGGTTAATTCAACCTTTTCTTACTTAAATGCATGCTTTCCTTCACATTGTTGTTTGATAGTGTACATCTTGTTAAATACATATTCTATGTGTTACAAGGTCATTTAGTTATCCTTTTTTGCATCAGCCCTGTTTCCTAATCTGAAGTTAGATTAATGTCCGCCACAGTAGCATAAAATAGTTAAAAAGGTGTAAGTAAGTATTAAATAGTTTAGGTTTGTCACACACTTACTTTTACGATAAGTGTATTAAAAGAAAGCCAGACAGTTTGTGAAAATTTGTTTCATTTGTGTGTAAAAATTTAATTGTTTAGAATTGGCTCTAAAAAGGACTGCCAGGAATAACTGTCATGGCAGGCCGTTGATGAAACATTTTTCAAATTTTTTTTTTTAAATATATTTCTCTTGTATTTTTTTTTTTGTGCAATCAAAGGGGATGGCTTCCACCCATGTAAATTTAAAGTTAGGGTCTGATCCATTCCCGAGTGTATATAAGAACACAGGTCAGGTGAGAACAGGTAGAAGAAATTTAGATGTCACATGTGAAAGAGATCAGCTGGTTGCAGGGAGGCAGGAGAAGGGGCTTATATGTCAAATATGAATGAAGGGTTTTTGGCATTCACATGTGAATGTCACTACAAGAGCAAAAGTCTAAACGGTCTTATCATTTCTCAAGGATTTACACTGTCAACTTCTACAACACCAAAAATAAGATGAACAAAGAAAACCTTTAAGCCAACCACACCAATACTGACGATGAAGGAAACTCACAGAATAAAGAAATTTAAAAAATATTGTTAAAGGCCTCAGTGAAGCATGTAGTAGCCAAGTAGAAAGAAAACCAAAAGACACTTCAAAATATCACTAAATTTCCTAGAAATGCTTGTGGAATAAGTCAAAGTAGGTTTTCTTGTTTATCTATTGAGTGCACCTTTTTCTAAAGAGTAATCACTTCCTCTTTTCAACAGTTTTCACTTCATCTTCTCAAGGTTTCTTTTTCTCATGCTCTCATGTATTGTTAATCTTTTTAGAACCAATAATTTCTATAATTTTATGTTATCTTGCCTTTTCCATAATAAGGAATTTTTTCTGCAAGCTTTTTGTGAAAATTATACTTTGTTATAGTATTATGTTTGTACCTTTCAAATTTCATTTAGTAGTTTAAATTTTTGTTCATTTGTATGTGCCTTTTTTTAATATTCAGGATAAGAGAGTAGATACACTTTCTTCTCCTATTTAAAAAAAATATAAATACAAAATAAAAGTTACATTTTATTTTTCTAGCTGAAAAAGACCTAAAATTCTAGGGACTCTTATTTGCATTAATTCCTACCAAGAAAAATAAAAATTTTTAACCTAACAAATTTAATATATCAGTTTTCACATAGTCGAAAAATTTTGGTTTGCTGAGGAATTAATGTAAATCCTCCAAATGTTATGCCCTAAATTAATCTTTCTTATTTTAAGCTTTTGACAGAATTGGCTTTTTCGAGAAAAACTGCAAAATCTGACATTTTAACTGATCTGGTATCCAACTAAAAAGATATCCAAGATTATAATGTGAGCATGCAGACTTTTGGTAGTAAGTATCCTTATCCAATTATTTAGCTGAACACAAAGCACTGTCAATGCAGTTGTTATAACAAGTGTTTGGTTGCAAAGGAAAGGAACAAACAAAGATTTCACCAATATGTATTGCTCAAAATTCTGAATACGTGCATAATTGTGTGAAAGGTGGCAAAAATTGTTCACATGTGTTTCCTTGGTTGCTAATAGTAAGGAAGGCAATTAGGTATAAGGGTTTTATCAGTAGGTCTGGGAGTTGACTGATTTCTTAGATTGGCTGGCCAAGGTTACAGTTCTGAAAAGAAATATAACTTACTCACTTTTGTTTATTAGACATTGAGTTGTGTCACTTTGAGTCCTCCATAACTTCTCTGACTTCTCAGCTAACATGATAAATATTTATGAGCATTCCTAAACTTTAAAATTTTGAAAAGCCAATGACATTTTTTATCTTATCTCTAAATACTTGCTACAAAATTGCATTTTGCTTTGATAAAGTCCCTCAGAGGACAAAACATGTTATCTAAGTTTTCCTTTTGTATTTATTGATATTGTCCTTTTACAGATATACCTTTTACTCACACACACACATGCACATATATATACTGAATATTTTTGGAATAAAAAGATCATCAAATATACCTATTATATGGCTGATTATGGATTGTTAAATTGCATCTCTCCAGGTTTTTGGCATGTCCTTCAAGTTACATATATGGATATTTATTTTGCTCTAGTATGATCTAGTTTTGACTTGGAAACATTTTATCTCCCAACTAGTAATGAGATTTACACACATAGAACTACAATGGAAGTAATTTTATTGTTAGTATTGTAGGTGTGAATATCTTTCCTTAACACTTAAGAGAAATAATTATCTGATTTTATTATGTAAGTCAATGTTTTAACAATAAAATTCGTGGGGGAATGAAATGGCTTATAAATTTTTAATGCCTCCAAAACAAAAACTGCTCTCTTTTAATCTTATAAGAGAACCTTTTTTTACCTTCCATCAGCATAACTGATGCTAACCTCTAGGAGAGTAACTTATTGCACCTACTTAGTCTAATATTTTCCACTGATATAGTGGAAAAATTCTGCTAAAAAAGTTGGTTCAATGTGTTGTACCAAAGAATTTTTTTCACTAAAATTTATCTTGCACCTTTATAAATCTACCATTCATCTATGAATTGCCAGGTCTGGTCTGATCTGGTCTGGTGCTTCTGTTATATATCTAGAGATTCTTGATAGAATCCAAAGAAGAATCTGCAATGTCACAAGTTCTGACCTGGCATCTCAGCTTCAGTCACTTTCCCACTGTCATAATGTAGCTTCCCTATGCCTTTCCTTTTCTATAAATATTTTTATGGTAATTCCACATCATTTTATTATTGAAATTGCTAAGTGTAAGCATAAGTTCTATACCAATGGTTTCTTATCTTGCACTTCTTAATGGTGTAATGGATAGCAGCTTGGAATGAGAAATTGGAGAGCTGAGTTCAAATTCCAGTTGAGTTCATTACATTCATTTGCACACTAATACAGTTGAGAAAAGTATGAATCCATCTTCTCCCCTCGTATATAGGCTAAATAGTAGGAATTGAATCTGGAAGAATCATTGTTATTCTCAAAAAATTATTAATGCAATATTCACTCACGAAAAAAGAATTATTCTTAAAATCTCAAACATGTTTCATCTTTAAAAAGCACACAAAGAGATAATAAGCCACAAAGAGATAATAATCCACAAAGAGATAATAAGCCACAAAGAGATAATAAGCCACAAAGGGATAATAATCCACAAAGAGATAATAAGCCACAAAGAGATAATAATCCACAAAGAGATAATAAGCCACAAAGAGATAATAAGCCACAAAGGGATAATAAGCCATAAAAAGCCAATCAAATCTGACACTACTTGCTTGTAGAACTATATTCTGGCTTCTTGTTTTCCTGTCGACTACAGTCTTCAAAAATTTAAATTGTCATCTTCTGGCTCCTTGAATCCTATTCTTTTAATGTGCTCTTTGTCCTCAATGTTTTCTCAGTTCCTTTCATTGCCAGTAACACTTTGCATCTTCGTGGCTTTATCATCTTGCTTGGGGTGAAATGATTAAAAAAATAATGTTGGTAAAATCTTTGAGATATATTTATGAACAATATCTTGTCAGTTTCAGTTTATAATATCTATCCTTATTAAAAAATATTGATAACTTATTTTAGATTTGTCAGTTTTTTGGGGTTTTTTATCCCATGACCCATCAGAGTCATAGGGACACTATGTGTACTGCAGCCACAGTAGAATTGGTGTTTCTTGGGCAAGATAGCCTGACAGAGCCCCTCTCCAGGATGGTTTTGAATTCAGTTTTTCCTTCTCCTAGACTGGTTGCCATCCAAGCTTATAGAACCCAGTCTGTCCTGTTATTTACCCATAGCTGGGGGAAGAAGAGGATTCATACCTTTCCCAAGGTTATAAGCAGATAAGTGAATGTAATGGATCCAACTTGTCAGGTTATATTGTGCTAATAAACTATATGCAACATACTTTTTTAATAAATAAATCCCAAATATATAATCTATGGAAATATATATCTGATTATTTTTTTGTAAATATATTTCCTTGTATGTGTTGTTGGATTACAGCCCTCTGATGTTAGTCACAGGCAGCAAGATATTGAAGGTGCACACATGCATGCATGCTCATGTATATTCCACAGTGGGGAAAGTGTTTTCCTTGTTCGACCAACATCTTACTATCCCTGAGTGAAATAAGAAAAAAGAGAATGACAAAGAATGTCAATGTTTATTTATAGACATAGAGAGTGTCCCCTAATGGCATTTTTAAGGAAAATAAGTTGGGTAACTCCACAAGGTGTTGCTGTTGTTGAAAGTTCTCAAGTGATGTGATTTGTGGTTTTTGCTTGCTAATTTACAAGGTTTGAAGATGAGTGGTCTTTGCTAAGGCTTCCTTCACTCAAAGCCATTTTTAATCATTCATATGAGAAAGTGGTTGTATACAGCTGATTGTTTAGATGTTTTTGAATGAGTTTGGCACCATGCATGGCATCCATATGAAAGTCTCAATTTGACAAGTCCATTTAAGAACATGATTAGTATTGGAATTTAATTTGAGAACCACGAATGCAAAATACGAGTTCACATTCTAAGCTATTTTTCCAACCTTTTTCATTACTTTCAAAACTGGCTCCCAAAGCCTTGATTCTTATCAGAGATAAGAATATATTTTCTGACTAATGAGAGAGCTGGAAAATATAAAAAGGAATTCCACCACCATTATTCTTTCCATGGTGTCATAAAGTCTGAGGGAAACCTCACAGCTTGTTCACTCCAACCTTTTTCATTACTTTCACAACCGGCTCCCAAAGCCTTGATTCTTATCAGAGATAATAATGTGTTTTCTGACCAATGGAGGGGCCAGGAAATTTGTATAACAATTTTTGGAGGGAAAAGTCCCCAATCCTTCTGAGCCTCCCAAATCTCCATAAATTTGGAGAATCTTTGCCTATTTGGCAGTGAGAATTTGGCCCACTGTCTGTAAGGTCAGCGATAGACAGCACCAGTCAACTTTGGAACCACTTCCAACCAAAAAAGAACTACCTACTGAAGGGATGTCAAGAATGAATGTTGGCCCGCTATTAAAGACCAGTCAAAAGCTGCCTCTTTCACCTACAAGACTTTCTCGTTGACCTACAAACTCACTCAACTGCAGAATTCCTATATCTACCAACATTTTCCTACTCTACGAAAATTCTGAAGAAAACTGTTTCTAAACCTTAACAACCTTCTACTCACTTAAAGAACTTTTTAGGCACTCAGAGAAATATTTTGAGCAAGCCTTTTTTTTCTGTTATGAATATTTTCTCTTCCCTTAAAGGACTTTTTCTTCTCCCTTTCTTTCTCTCCTAATTGTCTTTATCCCTTTACCCTTTTTTTCTGTATATGTAAATAAACACTTTCTTTTTTTATTGTTACACACCAAGCAGGAGTTTTTTTCTTTACTTGTCCACATAAAAGAGAGAGTTTGTCCACTCTAATCTTGCTGTTTTTATTCGCGTTTTGTCGCAATTTTTTAACCTCAACCCTTAGATGTGGGAAAGCCGGGACAAACTTTCCCAGCATTAGAGTTCTTAGGTTATGGTTTGAATTTTGTAGTAATTTTTGGTGTAGGGTGTAACTATCCCTAGAGCAGCAGCATATTCGATATTCAATTTCCTTATCCCCTATATTTCATATAACTGATTGATACACCAAGATATTTGAAGTGTTTAGTAATTATTAACTCTACATCCTGAATTATTTTGATGAATTGAGGGTTGGTGTCATTGCTGTCTTCATTCCTCTTCCAGATACTAGTTTCTCTTTTAGGAAGGTTTTTCTTGAGTCTTATTTCTTGGAACATTTGGTAAAAGGATGTTGCTTTTTTGTTCAAGATCATTCTTATCCAAACTATGAATACCTATATCATTGGCATAGCCCTTCATATCATTGGCTGTACACTGGCCTCAGGCGGGAAAGGAGGAACATTGTTTACTATTCATAGATTAATTTAGGATATGGTATAGAATACTTAAATGATTCGTGTCCATCTCTTCACATCTGTGCTTGTATATGTGGAGAGCATATTTGAGGAAGAGATTAAATAGATCGGGCTTTTCATTTTCCTTTTGTCATAATGAGGTTTGAAATATTTTGGTATTGGGGTCTTCACCAGTTATGTACAAATTTGTGAACCAATATATTTCTTCTATCAAATCCAGACATGTGGTGGAGCTTTCTAATGGAGGAGAAGAAAAAGTCTCTTCTGATATAGTTATATGTTGCTGTAAGGTAAACATAGCAGGTACACAATTTTCTATTGTAGAGGTATACAATTTCCTGGAGTTGTTTTCATAATATACATGCCAACATTATACACTTTACCAACACAAAAGCCAAAATTTGATGTGAGGAGTTGATTCGGAATAATAGTTGTAACAGAAAAATCTTTCTAAATTTTAAAAATCAAAGCATTCCATTACGTATTTTTCTACAATCTACATTCTACAACTTTTTTTATCATTTGCTGATCTAAAAGATGGGTTTATAAACTTTTCTTTTAAATTTCACCAATCTTCTCGGAAGTAAATTAAACAGACTAGTTACTGAGCATTTTTTTTTTATTGAACTTTTAATGATAAAAAGCAAAAACATTTCATGAAGGAGTTATTACCTCGGGCACATTTTTAGACGGTACACATAATGCACACTACACAGTAAATATCTAAGGGAAATAATTTATGTAAGTTCCATTTAAAATTACTGAGATGAAAATGGTAGACAGTTTATTTGCAAGATACCAGTTAGAAAAGCATGGCTGGACGGAAGGTTTGAATTAAAACTATTTTTTTTTTAGTTTTTAAATATTTAGATTATTGTTACATATTAAATATCACTATATTTCATATTTGTATATCCCCACGGTCTTTTTCTACGAAGACGTTATACGAACACGTGGATGATGAATGAACTGACTCAATTATATTTTTTAATATCTTAAATCCTAACCAAATAATATTTTTCTCAATACAAAGGCGTGCTGAAAAGTTCTTGGCTTGATCAAAAGGTCTTTAAAAAATTGATTATTTTAGTCAGATTTCGAAGAAAGGGTTGGGCCGAGAACTTCAGTGCACGTTCGTAAAAAAAACTGATCTTTCATGTTTAGTTTCTATAATCATTGAAGGTTTATTTTAAAGTTAAAAAAAGGAATAAGTAATTCTTGTAGTTATGGTCTTTAAATATAAAATAGAACTTTAGTTTAAAATGTTTTTAATTCAGCATAAAGTTCTTTCTAACCGAGAAGTTAGTTCTTGGCCGAATAAGTGGTATGACTTTTTTTTGTAAAGGCTAGATTTTAAAACTTTTATTAAATTTAATTATTAATACAAGAATTTGATTAATTTAGAATTTCCTCAGTTATTGTTTTAGCACGTGCTTTTTTTTCTTTGTAGGAACTGGCCTTGGAAAACATGAAAATGGCATAACAGCACCTATAAAAGTTGCCCTGAAGAATAATAAAGATGGGGTAAGGTTGTATTTTTTATTCTGGACTTCATTTATTTATTGAATCATCTACATAAAATAGAAAGATTTATCATTATAAAATGCAAATTCATTTATTTAAACTGCAACTTGAATTAGAGTTTTAGTGTCTGAGACTGATTTATTTGTCTTATAATTTAAAATTTAATTGGTAAAAAAAACAAGTCATCCACTGGTACCTTCAAAGATTTGTTAAAAAAAATGAGCGCACGTGATGAAAAAAATATCCCCCAAAACAAAACTTAATAAAAACAAAATTTTATCGTCAAATTTTGTTATTATTAAGAGAAAAGATCAAAGGATTTTTTTTTTTTTTTTACTTAAATAATATTTTTTAGTATCTTCGAAATTTTGGTTAAAAATTTTGTTTTTCTTGTGTCATATGGGTAATTTTAGCGTTATTTTTGTTTGTTTTTTGCGGTAAAAATATTTATTTGGAAATTCTTGCAAAAATCAGATAATCCTCGGATTTTAATGAAACTTTCAGTACTTATCCACAAATGAATGAAATTATTTCAAAGTTTTCTTTAGAAAATGTTAGGAATTTTTCTTTTTTATATCTAACCCCACTTGTTTAATTCATTTTTGTAGTCCTTATGTTTATATTTTGCTTGGAAAATTTAAATCATCAATTTTTTATTTTTTTTATCAAACGGGACCCCCAGTTACAGAAAAACTTCACTAAATCGTAAAATAAATAAAAGATACAATAAAACTTCAACATTTATTTAAGTAAAAAAGCTTTATTAATTGCTTTTTTTATGGATGTAGGTACTTCCAAAGAAAAGCAATAGGTTTTAAAAATATTTCTTGAAGTTTTTATTTTAATTTCAAGCTAATAGATTAAATTTAATATTTCCTTTATAAGCAAAAAAATACTTTAGTATTGTATTTCAAAATTAATTTAAATAAATTGATTGGAATTTGTTTTTTGAAATACGTAAAACTAAAAGTCACTGATTTTAGCCATTTAAATTCTCAAATCTCTTGGCAAACAGAATTGTGAATTTAAAAGATTTAAAACTTTTAAATTATTCTAATTAAAATTTAAGAAAAATGAAAAAAAATTTTGTAAAAATTCATTATTCATCAAAAAAAATTTTCAGATGACAACAGTGTCCATAAGTAATATATCTTATTTATTATGTAATTAAAAGCTTCTCTAATTAAATAATTAATTTTATTAATTTTATTACATTTTTTATTTTATGATTCAGAGCAGTTTTTGTTAACTGTAGATCTTGTCTGACTCATGCTTATAACTACTATAAACTTCATTAAGTGCTACAAAAATGAATTTATTGAAATTTCATAAAAATAAATGGGTGGGGGAAGTAACATGTAAAACATAACATTTGTGAATAACTCCTGAAAAATTTTGAAGGTTATAAAAAGGATTAAATCTTCCTCTTAATAATAACATAAAGATTTTGACAATAAAACTTTTTTTAAGTTTGGGACATTTTTTTCATCATGTATGTTTATTTTTTAGTGAATCTTTTGTGGCATCTATATTATGAACATTATTGTCTTAAGAAAAAAATCTTTGAATAATAAATTTTTACAAGAATTGTTTTAGTTTTTTTTTTTTTTAATTACATTAAGTTTTAAATCTTTTACAATTGTGTATTATTTTATAGTGATTAGGTGGTATGGTTATTAAGTAAAAACTATATTTCTAATCATAAATGGAAAAACGTACTACAATTCAGCAACTCCCAGTATTCAAATTTTTTTTTTTTTTTTTTTTTTTTTTTTGTGCGACTATAAATGTGCCAATTTTTAAATACAGTTGTCCATATGCAACATTATCAGAAAGCAAGAGCAGTAACTATAGTAAATTTAAAATTTATTTTAATTTTCTAACATTTCTTCAAGCATCTTCATAAGTAAGACTGTAAAACCAAAGTACCCAAAATTCAATAAAATACTAGAGAGAATGCTTTCCTAAGTTTTTAAGATTACCGGATAGTTAAAAAAAATTCTACAAGAAAGTGTTCACATTGTATTCACCAAGGAATTTTTAGTTATGTACCCATTACTTAAAAACAACAAATATTAAACCATCAATAAATGTGCCAACACCTCATAAAATCACCAACTTCCAATATTTTAAAATGAAAGTAATATTTGTTTTAATTCAGACTAATTAAACTTTAAATCAGTTAATCTTTCTCAAATAAAGTTTCAGGAAAGTATATTTTATTTTTGAAAAATTCTTTTTGATAAAGAGTATTTGTGTTGATAGATTTGTCTATATTGATGATTTTAGCAATTTTTCATAAAAAATAATTCCATTTAATTTAAATTCGTTTTGAAATACAGTAAAGTTATTAGAAATATTAAATTTAATCTATTAATTTGGAATTAAAGCTAAAATAAAAGCTTCAAGAAAGGTTTTTCATTTTTAAAATGTATTTCAACCCTTAGATATTGCTTTTTTTTCTTTTTCTTTTTTTAAGTTGCTTACATAAAATATTGGATGATGAAAATAGTTTATTTGGTTTATTAAGTTAAATTTTTAAAAAATTACTTTCATTGTTAATTTTATTGAACAACATGTTTACTTTTTTGTCTCCCACTACCTTTCAGTTAATTTCTTGATTCTATAGTCCAATCATTTTTTTTTTTTTTTTATCTTTCTTGGCACAGAATTGCTCTATCTTGCCTTTTTGAAGTTTTTCAGAGAATTGAAATCAAATCATTTTCATTAAGGGAATTCTACAAAGACCAGAATAATTTGGGAATATGGCAAGCTCTAATAATTTTTATCTGATCACTTAAGAGTGTCATGTTCTAGTGTTATGGTGATGTAATGTACTTTTTTTGTTATCAATTGCTACTTTCACTTAGTCTAATTGAGAAGAATCATTTTCTTCTGATGAAGCAGCTTATATTAAAGGACAGTTTTCAAATGCTAATCTATACATAGTATCACTTTGAATGAAAACCAGCTGATCATATGACAAGTGATGGTTCATTAAATTTGACATCTTTTGTAACCATGTTGCTGTATCCAGTTTGCATCACTTATCGCAATTTGTTTTTAAACAGAACATTTTTGTTATATTAAGCAGCAGATTGTACATAGAAACAGTTTTTTTAAGGGTTTTTTTTTTTCATTTATATGGAAACCATACATCAAAGTGACTAACATAACCAATTTGATGAAAATGATTTTCAATGCTTCTTTTGGATATTTTGTGTAATGTTGATTATCAGCTGCATTGTATAATGTTGATCATACTTTATGTAATATATTGATCAACCTCAACTGGTCTACCCAATTGTGAAGCATTGTTCAGATGTTAAGGATGAAAATTCCCAAGTCTATTTTGAAATGCTTGTTTATTCCTAATACCTTCTGTACTGATATTATTTTGCATCTGAGTTTTTAAATTAAAAAAAAAAAGCATATGTTTTTCTCTATCTACCATTAAAATGTAAGTGCTATAAATTCAAAATTCTGCTATTTTTCACAATGATTGTGCTTTAAAAAAATTGATACACAAATATATTTGTAAAAAGAACATCATTAAACTTTATAATTGTTTCTAAAATATTGGCATAAAGACATCATTATTTTTTTTGCATCCATTGAAGCTGATCCTATTGGGCTTTAAAAAAAGCAAAGTTTATGAATTATTTCATAATTGAAATTTAATCAATTTTTTTAATTTATAATCAATGCTGCTAGAAAAAAAGAATATTCAGGATGAGTACAGGTGAGCAAATTACCTTTGCTACTACTACCACGATGAAGATCTAAAGGATGAGGAGAATCTGCTCAAATACACATAATTTGGCTATGATGAAGGACCCACTTTTCAAAAAACACTCCAATGCTATATGATATGCATTTTATACACATTTATAATATAGCCTATTTCAACCTAAAAGATAGCTACTTTATTTTTGATAACTTATTTTGGCAAGTTGAAAAAATGTTTACATTTTTTCAGGATGATAATAGTTTATAATGAGGACATATTCTTTGTAATTTATTAAAATATTTTACAATTTTGTGAATATTAAATTATATGATTAAATTGTGTGTTGAAAATATGTATTAATTAAATGACATAACCAAAACTGTAAACTTTACATACAGATATCATTATAAAGAGATTAAAATTTTAAGACATAAACAAAAATGTGAATTTAAATAGTTTATATTGGTTGAATTTTATAATTCTGCAAATTTAACAGTTTATCTTAATCTGTTTAAAATAGAGTTGATTATCTCTTACTTTTGATCATAAAATCATAGTCAATAAATTTCTCTGTAACCTTGAAAATTAATGCACAAACTAAATTTGATCAGAGAGAAATTCTAAATAACTACAAGATCGATATGCAAAAAGTAAGATTCATTTTTTTTTTTTAATTTTGTTCAACACAAATTTCCACAATAAGTTTGCAGTGTTAGTAACTTTACTAATCTTAGATAATGTTACTTTGTGTTTGAGAGAGGATACTTAACAATAGTCAATAAAAGATTGACTTTTTGCAATTAAAAATAATTATGGTAAAAAAAATAGGTGATATAGAACATAACACACATATTATTTTTAATCATTTGGTTTATTCAATAAAACATTTAAAATTCTTCATTTTGGTAAATTACTCAAATCTTTTTTCTGCAACATTCTTAAAAGTAGCTTTTTCTTGTTCTTATGTTAGCAATTTTTTCAATTTCTTTTTTGATTGTTCTTTGATCTCTTTTTCAATTTTCTTTGTAATTTCCAAAGTTATTTTCTCATTACCTGAGGCAAATATAATAACCTCTAGAACTAAAAAGCATTGAAAGAACCCAGACCTCTGTCAATGACATTGTCACAAAAATACTTGCAGAGGAGGTTGCTATAGAAATTCATGAACTATTCTCAAATTTTTGTCACTTATTCTATTGTTCATGGCACAACCTTCCACCAAATTTCATAGAAATCCTTTAAAAATTTTTAAAGACATTTTGTTGTAAAA